AGTTGGCTCCAGGGAGAGGAATTTGGGTGAACTGGGTTGGAGACTTTATTCTGCATACCCTTTTAGTATCTTCTGAATTTCTTCCATGTACGTGTAATCTCTACTCAAAAAAAGGTTAAAATTATTTTTTTTAAATCACAAAAAATATGCTATTTAATTCCAGCCAGAACTGACTGATTTGCCTGTGCCATCGCCACTGAAAAGAGTTAATATATCTTTATATTCTTTGACATTATATGAATACGAAATTTAAGATAAAATATAAAACAGTTATCTTTACATGAACTATGGAAACCTCCACGTCTATCAGTGTGTGGAACTCTGGGGGCTTGCGTGCTGCTGTGATGCTGCAAGCTATGCCACCAGTATTCAAATACCAGAACATTGTCTGACAGAGATCCCGAAGATGAAGCCCTTAGGTTGGAAGGCACTCAAAATACCACTGGGGAAGAGCTGCCTCCTCAAAGTAGAGTCAACCTTAATGACGTGGATGGCATCAAGCTTTCGCGACCTTCATTTGCTGATGTGGCGTGAGTCAAAATGAGAAGAAACAGCTGCAAATATCCATTAATAATCAGAACACAGACTGTACGAAGTATGAATCTAGGAAAACTGGAAATCGTCAAAAATGAAATGGAACACATAAACATCAATAACTCAGGCATTAGTGAGCTGAAATGGACTCGTATTGGCAATTCTGAATCAGACAATCCCATGGTCTACTATGCTGGGAATGACAACTTGAAGAGGAATGGCACTGCACTCATCGTAAAAAAGAACATTTCAAGATCTATCCTTAAGTACAACGCTGTCAGTGATAGGATAATATCCATACACTTACAAGGAAGGCCAGTTAATATGACTACTATTCAAATTTATGTACCACCACTAATGTCAAGCTGAAGAAATTGAAGACTTTACTTCTATAGTCTATAACTGATCAAACATGCAATCATGATGCATCGACAATTACTCGTAATTGGAAAGCAAAAGCTGGAAACAAAAGAAGGATCAGTAGTTAGAAAATACAACCTTGATGATAGAAATGATGCCAGAGACTGCATGATAGAATTTTGCAAGACCAATGACTTCTTCATTGCAAACACCTTTTTTCAACAACATAAATGGCAACTATACACATGGACCTCGCCAGATGGAATACACAGGAATCAAACTGACTACATTTATGGAAAGAGATAATGGAAAAGCTCAGTATCATCAGTGCAGTCAGAACAAGACCAGGGGCTGACTGTGGAACAGACCATCAATTGCTCATATGCAAGTGCAAGTTGAAACTGAAGAAAATTAGAACAAGTCCATGAGAGCCAAAGTATGATCTTGAGTATATCCCACCTGAATTTAGAGATCATCTCAAGAATAGAGTTGAAGCACTGAACACTAATGACCAAAGACCAGATGAGTTGTGGAAAGACATCAAGGACATTATACGTGAAGAAAGCAAGAAGTCATTAAAAAGACAGGAAAGAAAGAAAAGACCAAAATGGATGTCAGAAGAGATCCTGAAACTTGGTCTTGAATGTCGAGCACCTAAAGCAAAAGGAAGAAATGATGAAGTAAAAGCACTGAATGGAAGATTTCAAAGCGCAGCTTGAGAAGACAAAGGAAACTATTATGATGACATGTCAAAGACCTGAGTTAGAAAACCAAAAGGGAAGAACATGCTCGGCATTTCTCAAGCTGAAAGAAATGAAGAAAAAATTCAAGCCTCAAGTTGCAATAGTGAAGGATTCTATGGGTAAAATAACTGAATGATGCAGGAAGCATCAAACATGGAAGGAATATACAGAGTCACTGTACCAAAAAGAATTGATCGATATTCAATCATTTCAGGAGGAAGCACATGATCAAAAACTGATGGTTCTGAAGGAAGAAGTTCATGCTGCACTGAAGGCACTGGCGAAAAACAAGGCTTCAGGAAATGAGAGAATACAAATTGAGATGTTTCAACAAATGGATGCAGCACTGGAGGTGCTTACTCACCTATGCCAAAAAATTTGGAAGACAGCTACCTTGACAACCAACTGGAAGAGATCCATATTTACGCCTATTCCAAAGAAAGATGATCCAACCGAATGGGGAAATTACTGAACAGTATAATTAATATCACATGCAAATAAAATTTTGCTAAAGATCATTCAAAAGCAGTTGCAGCAATACATCAACAAGGAACTGCCAGAAATTCAAGCCATATTCAGAAAAGGATGTGAAACCAAGGTTATCATTGCTGATGTCAGATGGACCCTGGCTGAAAGCAGAGAATACCAGAAAGATGTTTACCTGTGCTTTACTGACTATGAAAAGGCAGTCGAGTATGCAGATCATAACAAATTATGGATAACACTGTCAAGAATGGGAATTCCAGAACACTTAATTGTGCTCATGAGGAATCTGTACATACATAGATCAAGAGGCAGTCGTTCGAACAGCACAAGGCGGTATCGCATGGTTTAAAGTCAAGAAAGGTGTGCATCAGGGTTGTATCCTTTCACTATAATTATTCATTCTGTATGCCGAACAAATAATCCGAGAAGCTGGACTATAAGAAGAAGAAAGGGGCATCAGGATTGTAAGAAGGCTCATTAACAACCTGCCATTGGCAGATGACACAACCTTGCCTGCTGAAACTGAAGAGGACTTGAAGCACTTACTGATGAAGATCAAAGACTACAGCCTTCAGTATGGATTACACCTCAACCCAAAGAAAACAAAAATTCTCACAACTGGACCAATAAGTAACATCATGATAAACGGAGAGAGGACTGAAGTTGTCAAGGATTTCATTTTACTTGGATCCACAATCACTACCCATGGAAGCAGCAGTCAAGAAATCAAACGATGCACTGCATTGGGCAAATCTGCTGCAAAAGACCTCTCTGGTGTGTTAAAAAGCAAAGATATCACTTTTAAAGACTGAGGTGCGCCTGAACCAAGCCACAGTGTTTTCAGTCACTTCATATGCATATGCATGCGAAAGCTGGGCAATGAATAAGAAGACTGAAGGAGAATTGACGTCTTTGAGTTATGGTGTTGGCGAAGAATACTGAATATACCACGGACTGCCAAAAGAACAAACAAATCTGTCCTGGAAGTACAGGCAGAATGCTCCTTAGAAGCGAGGATGGTGAGACTTTGTCTCACATACTTTGGACGTGTTATCAGGAGGGACCAGTCCCTGGAGAACATCGTGCTTGGTAATGTAGAGGGTCAGCAAAAAAGAAGACGACCCTCAGTGAGATGGACTGACACAGTGGCTGCAACGACTGGCTCAAGCATAACAACGATCGTGAGGATGGCACAGTGTTTCATTTTGCTGTACAGGGTTGCTGTGATTCAGAACTGACTCGATGGACCCTAACGACAACATGGAAAATGCATGTAACAAATTTTTTTTTTTTTAAAAACAAAACAAACTTCTGCCTGTTAGTCAAATCCCAGCCCTTTCCTGTACTCTTCCTGGGGCTACTGACCACCACCTTGTCTCAAATCACTCTCATCCCCTAGCTTTAATAACATCATAATTGTGCTGTTCTACTATTTCTTGTATTGATCCTCCATCTCTTTGGCTGGACTCTCCTTCTCCCTTACCCCACACTGAGGATGGTCACTAAGGTATGATTTTTAGCCCTCTATCATTTTGTTCCTACACTCCCTTTTACACAGAGATCATCCACTTTCTTGGCTTTGATCAACTTTCTTCATAGGGTACTCAAAAACTAAGTCTCTAATTACCAAAACCTTTACTCAATGCTTCCTGTCTAAATAGGGTCCCTTTCTAGCCTCCTAAGTATCTATCAGTGGCATCTTTGTGGTTTTAGACCTAGTTGTTTAAAAATGTGAGATAGATGGTGTAATTCCTGTGTTTTTTTAGATGAGAAAACTGGTCCTCAGTTTTTCATTGACACACTACTGCTATGGGGGAGAGCAAGGATTCATATATAGGTACAGGTGATTCTAAAGGCCACTCCGTTAATTCAATACTATTCAATATTCCTTCTATAGCATCTAGTTCAATTGCAGCCACTGGTTAATTTCATAAAGGAGCTTCCTATTATCATGACAGACTTAAGATTAAAGAATTCCTATAAATACTCCTTTTTTTCTTTTGTAAAAGGAACAAATCATTATTAAATTCTTTGAGGTGTTGTGTATAGGTGGGATTAGTAAAATTGGAATTATACATCTATACACACACACACACACAGTCTTTTAAACGGACCAAATGATAGTCCCCTTCCCTTTAAATTAGACTTGCTTTAAATCCCTCTGTTGATCAGCAGTGTAGTGGATGAGGGTCAGAAAGAAAACAAAACAAAAACTACCTAGAATTAACTTCTCATGATGAGTTGGGAAAAAAAGATTTCAGGAGCTCATGTAACCATCTACTTCCTTCCCTGGGATTATCAACTTGGGAAGATTTTTATAATTCTGATGTCCTAGCTTGCCTGAGTGATAACACATCCAGTGATAAGTCATGTAGTGCCTGGCACACAGAAAGAGATCACCAAATGGTTGCTCTTATTATTATCACTGCTTTTGTTGTCACTGTTGTTGTTTCAAAATAGCAATTTTAAGTTAGAGCACTGATAACCACACTGTGATTTTTCAGTGTCAAATCATAATGAGGCAGGTACTTAAGAGATGTACAGTCTAAATGTCTGTTGATAAAGACCAGCCGCTGGGTACACATCCAAATAGGATATAATCACTCAAAGTGAGGGAAAGGAAGAAAAATGAGAAGGCAATCAATCACCCATACTCACCAAAAAATGTTGTTTTAAGTGAGTGATGGAAGAAATAAAAATAGAAAAAACCATTATCACCGGAAAGAAAAACATATTAAATCTAAGAATCCATTAATAACAGTGTATTAATTAAACTTTTCTTCTGGGCATTTAATACCTAAGCACAAAATCAAATTCATGCCTAATATCATGATCAAACCACATACAGCTATTTGTACCTATTCTGTATAAACTTACCTTATTATTGCAAACATGGAATTGAAGTTCTTACATTCTCGACAGTGAAGTGCAATTTTAATGAAAAGTTTAATAATCTTCATTCGTTTGAGCTGATTTGATTCAGTTAAAATTTCTGAGGCAACCCAAAATGTTTCTTGGTTTACAATGTCCTCAAACTCTTTCAAGTGAGTATTTCCTGTTTTGGAATCCAACTTAAAAAGGTCGTCAATGTATTCAGTAGGCTCAATATTTCTAAACAAATCGAAGTCTCTCATTGATAGCTGGGTGGCCATCTCAATGGTACTCAGCTGCAGCATGGATAGTTGGCTTTCCTTAACTAGTTCCTGTGCATCTTCATCTGAGCATAACGTTTCTGTTTCCATGTTATTCTTTAAATAATACCTAAAAAAGAAAAAAATTATGTTTATAATTTTATATTTATAAAAGTACTTTTCCTCTTTATTATTGTCAAAATATCAATTTTAATTTTACTGTTAACAACTTTTAGTCCTAAATGTTAGCATATTCACTTACAAAGGCAATGGAGAATTAAGATTTTAAATGAAAAGGGCTTTTCTGCCATTTGATGTCTATTTTTTTTTTTAAATCTTTTTAATTGCGCTTTAGGTGAAAGTCTGCAGCTCAAATTAGTTTCTCATACAAAAATTTATGTACACATTGTTATGCGACCCTAGTTGCTATCCCTATAATGTGACAGCACACCTCCCTTTTCCACTCTGGATTTCCCGTGTCCATTCAACCAGCCCCTGTCCCTTCCTGCCTTCTCATCTCACCTCTGGACAGGAGCTGCCCTTTCAGTCTTGTGTCTCTACTTGAACTAAGAAGCACACTCTTCACGAGTATTATTTTATGTTTTATAGTCCAGTCTAATCTGTCTCTGAAGAGGTGGCTTTGGGAATGGTTTTAGTTCTGGGCCAACAGAGAGTCTGGGGGCCATGTCTTCTGGGGTTCCTCTAGTCTCAGCATTTAACATCTTCTGTTTTAAAGAGTGAATTGGGCTCACTATAAAGATTAAATTATTCTCAAAGAAAATATCCAGAGTAAAAAAACCAACCAACAAAACAACCCTCCCCCCACAGCAAATGTACTATCAAAAGAATCTTCAAATGATTTTCAGAGCACATTTAAATAATTTAAAATTTTTTCCTGTACAGGAAAAGGAAAACTAGTTAGAAAAAGAACTGTGAAAATTATAACTTCTTTCGCCCAAAGTACATATTGGTCATAGTAAAAAGAAATTTATATATTAATACATACAGATACTCAGATACATATAAAGATATGTATCACCCAGTTTCCTAATCTGTAAAAAACAGATTGGACTGTATCAGTGATTCGAAGATTTTATTTTAGTAGAGGTGCTAAAATAATTTAGCAAGCTGCCTGCCTTTTCTTTCATTCTCCTACTTCGGGGTAGAAGTTATGAGTGCTAACATCCTAAGGTTCTATTTATATCATTATGGAAACAAGAACAGTTGGGAAAAAGAAAACAACAAAACTAAAAAACAACCCTACTCCCCTTTTCGAGAACTTGGTGACTCTAAAAACATGATGTTTCTACTTAAAATATCCATTTTGACAGGGGTTCTAAACAGCACATGTCCAAACAAGCATATTCACTAATAAGTACATTCACCTTCCATTAAGCTGAATCCTATCAGCTAATTTGGAGAACTGGTCCGGAAGTCTTCTCTGTTTTATGACGCCCTCAGGAGTAACAGAAACTTCACAGAGAGAATATGTGTCCGATGCACCAGTCAAACCAAACTCATGAACAGCATGACAGACTACTTCTTTAGCTGTAGTGTCTTTACTGATGATAATGTAGCAACTTTGTTGATCTGCTTTGAAAACTTTTATAACTTGATCAGGAATATCTATATAAATACAAAGATGTGCCTTGTTATTTTCAAGAAAATTAACTTTTAACTCTTCAAAAAAGCAACTGATGAAATACTAACATGTTCACAGAAAAAGAAAAATACTGGGATCATACTACACATATCATTTGGAAGCCACATTTTCTTTCATTTAATAAATATAAACACTTCTTATACCACTGAGTATCCTACAAAACAATTCTTAATGGAGCAAAGTACTCCATAATGTGTATTTTTTAATTATTTGTGGTAAAAATACATTAAGAAAACATTTGCCAAATTCAACATTTTTCACATGTACAATTCAGTAACATTGATTATGTTCATCATGTTGTGCAACTATCACCACTATCTGTTTACAAATTATTCCATCACCATTAAGAGAAATTCATTGCCCTCCAAGCACTGACTCCTCAGTCTTCCCCTCCCTTCCACCTGGTAACCACTAATAAACTTTGGTTCTATACATTTGCCTCTTTCATATAAGTGAGATCATACAATATTTGTCCTTTTGTGACTAACTTATTTTACTCAGGATATTTTCAAGACTGATCCATGTTGTAGCATGTATTAGGACTTCATTTCTCTTTATGAAAGAGTAATGTTACATTGTACATATACATATATGCCACATTTTATCCATTCATCTGTTGATGGACATTTAGTTCCCACCTTTTGGCTATTGTGAATACTGCTGCAATGAACACTGATATACAACTTTCTGTTTCTGTTCCTGCTTTCAACTATTTTGGGTATACACCTAGATTGGCATTGCTAGGTCATATGGTAGTTTCTATGTTTGAGGAACTGCCAGACTTTTTCCCACAGTAGCTGTACCATTTTGCATTCCCACCAATAATGGATGAGTGTTCCAATGTCTCCACATCCTTGCCTACACCTGTTATTTTCCATATTTTTGATCATAGCCATTCTAGTGGTATCTTATTGTGGTTTTGATCTGTATCTCTCTAATGACTAATAAGGAGCCCTGGTGGCGGAGTAGTTGGTTAAGCGCTTGGTTGCTAACTAAAAGGTCGGTGGTTCGAACCTATTAGCTGCTCCATGGGAGAAAAGATGTGGCAGTCTGCTTCCATAAGATTACAGCCTTGGACAACCTATGGGGCAGTTCTACTCTGCTCTACTGGGTCATCATGAATCAGAATAGAATCCAGGGCAATAGGCTTAATGACTAATGATGTTAAGCATTTTTTCATGTGCTTGTTGGCCATTTGTATATCCTCTTTAGTGAAATGTTTATTTAATTCCTTTGCCCACTTTTGATTGGGTTGTCGGTCTTTTTGTTAAGCTCATAATAGTATCTCACATATTTAAATTATCTAAATATTTAATACTAGACATTTCGGATGCTTACCATTTTCCTACATTATAAATAATAAGACTTCTCTCTAAAGCAGATAAACCCTTGCAGACAATCTTATTACTTCCTCAGATAAAAAATCCCGATAAAGAGAACTGCTGACTTAGAGGGCATGCATATTTTAAAGTTTTTTTGAAATATACTGCCAAACTCTTCTCCAGAGAGGTTATTTTATAATTCTAGAGTATATAAGCCAATTGTTCATATTCTTACCAAACTGTGTATTCAATAATGCTTTCTTCCCTGATTTTGAAAGCCACTCCCTCCTTCCCCCCAAATACTTCATTGTTGTATTTTCCATTTCTCTGGTTACTGGTGAAGTTCAGTGACTGGTATTATTTAATGAACTGTTAGTATTTTTTTCTTTTTCAAAATAATGTTTGGTATGCTGTATGCTTTTTCCTACTGAACTATACTAGAAGCCAACATGTACAAAGTCTACTATAAAGTGGCAAATGTTTTTCCAATTTTCATATTCTACTGTTTATTATATTTGAAAACACAAAAATACTGTAAATATTCATGTGGTTAAATATCTCAATCTTTGCCTTTGTGATTTTTGTTATTAGGAGGTAAGCTCCACCTCGAGATAAATGTTCACATGATATACATATGTAGATAATGATTTTTCTGACTTGTTCTTTTTTTTTTCCCCTATCATATGACTGTAACTTCCAAAATAATGCCCAATGTGATGACAGCAGGCTACGTTTTAACGTAACCAAAAAAGTGATCTGATAGCACGAACAAAGCTAAAATTTTCCCTATGATAATAAATCATTGATATAAAAATTATTATGTTTAATTAGGAAGAATTTACTAGTGTGATCTTTTTTTGGGGGGTGATGACTACAGTAGGATTGAGTTGGGTAGATTTGGGTGGCTCAAGGTATTGTACACTGCTTGCTTGGCATTACCTTCTTAGCGTTATATATGTTAACTTTTAGAGAAAAGACAAATTAATCTCAAAATCACAAGAGGTATAGTCTTCTGTTTGTCCTAGCTAAAAGAAAGGAGTAATGGAATAAATATGGCAGGAAATAATTTCACAGAATATGGTCCCTTCCCGTGCATCCCTTCCCAAAGCTTGGGGACAAATAAAGACAGAGATTGATTCCCTGGATTGGAAGGTTCAGCTGAATATATATGAATACAATTGCAGGAAGAATGAGCCTTAGCCAACAGATGTTGAATATTCTAGGTCCACTGGCAAGCTGAAAGCAGACTGCTTCATTTGTTCAGGTCCTTTTTAAAGATGTTTGCATCAAGCTGTCCAACCTTGGTGTATTCAAACATTTGAATAATCAAATGCCTCCTGCTCCTTCTAATGAGTCAGTCCTTAGTGTGCTGCTGACATAATCAGGTTTATGAATTTACCAAGCTTAAGGTCAGACTCCTTTATGATTCACCAAAATCAGAGATACTCCCTTGCCCTAGAAAATGATTGCAACCAGATGGAAATTTCGGTTTGCCAAGAGAAAGATTCTGGACAAAAGGGTTTCACCCTTTTAACTCTATAAAAAAGTGTCAAAAAATATGGTTTGCACTCAACTACTAACCTAAAGGTTAGTGGTTCAAACTCACCCAGCAGCGATGCAGAAGGCCTGGCAGTTTCCTTCCATAAAGATTACAGCCAAGAAAACCTTATGGAGCAGCTCTACTCTGTAACACATGGGGCTGCCATGAGTTGAACTGACTCGACAGCATTGAGATTTTTTTTTTGTATTGTTCCTATCCTCTTCATGAAAATCGGTCTCAATGTTCTGGGGCTCTAGAATTGGATGAGTTCATTAGATCTCTGGGGGCTGACCTTGGGGGAGGCTAGGGAGATGTTCTGGTCCCTTTATTACTTTCCTCAGAGAAATTTAATCACAAAGAGGGCTAAGGAATTTGTACACATTTCATGTTTTCTTCTCTTGTGGCTGATATACTGTAACATCTTTTGGGAAGGAACAGAGTTGTGTATCTTGCTAAATAGCAGAACAAAGTCAGTCTGTAAAAGCCATCTGTTTCCCGTGAGAAGGACAAAATGTTATGTAGTCACATAAGAGGGATTCAGGAATCACAAATCAGTGCCTTTAGAACAGATTTCAAAAATGAAATGATCCAAAACCCAAAAAACTCACTGCCATACAGTCAATTCCAACTCACAGTGACTCTCTAGGACAGAGAACTGCTTCACAGGGCTGCAAAGGCTGTAATCTTTAAGGAAGCAGACTGCCACATCTTTCTCACTGAGCAGCTGGTGGGTTTGAACTGCCAACCTTTCAGTTGGCAGCCAAGTGCTTTAACCACTGAGTCACTTTGTTAAGGTAATGAAAATCTTTCAGGAGGCATTAGATGGAAAAAATTTCTCTACGTTGATACACCAGTGTCAGTGTAGGCCTCTTTTTCTATTTTAGAATTGTTACATATATACTACAAACATTATTTGTTGTTAGTGGGAGAACATCATAGATGCCAAGCATAATACTTGGCACATGGCAGACACTCAAATGTTAACTGATTAGATGGTTAGAATAAAGGAGAATCAAGGAGAAATGATCCAATTATCTCAAATTTTAGGCATGAAGCTAAAACATACATAAGAATACAATCCAGTAAGGGCAAACAGATACTTCAAAAAACTCTTGGAGGAGTATATCATTTATTAGTCTTGTGATTTATAGTTCATTAATAAAATTCTTATATACTATATAAATTAATTCAATATGAAGCTCAGATAACTGGACTTTCAACCTAAAGACATAATTTCTAGAGTGCTAACTATAATCTTATATAAGTAAAATGAAAAAAAGAAGAGAGAGATAGCCGAAGGATGCATATATTGAATTTGAGATTACACTAAAAACAGGACATTTTAGATATTTAAAGTAATCTTAAAAAAAAACCTGTTCCTTTAGTCTGCTTTCAACTGCTAATCACTCAACGAATATTTATTGAGTACCTGGTTAACGTGCCAACCAGTGTTGCAGATGATAGAGTGATAAATGAGACAGACAAGCTCCTTGCTCTCAGGGGATTTGCTTAAATTCAAAAGAGTAAGGAGTGGCTGAAGGAAAACAGACAATAATCAAGTAAATAAGACAATGTGGACAATGAAAAGTGCCATAAAACAAATGTAGAGTAATAGTATAATGGTATAGATCAGGGATTGGTGAATTTGTTCTATAAAAGATCAGATAGTAAATACTTTAGGCTTTCCAGGTCAAAAGGCAATGATATTTTGTAGGTACTTACATAACAAGAGAGAAAACAGATATCCACAATTTTTTTTTATTGATGAAATTCAAAATATAATAATGAAAAGCCTTTACATAAAACATGCAAAGATATGTTAACACAGAGATTTAGGCAACACTGTAAAGGCCGGTTAACGGGACTATGTGGTTAAATGGAATACTATCAGCTGTTTAAAAATTTGGTAGACTATGCTGACATAGAAAAGCATTTATGGTATATTGTTATGTGAAATGGGTAAGAGGCAGAAAAGTTTAACATCTCATGGAGTGAAGAGAATGGAATGCACATTTTATGTGCACTGAAATTTCTGGAAGGATATATGAATAATTTAACAGTTGTTAATCCTGGGGAGCAGAGTTAACTGAGTGGTGGTTCAGTGGTAGAAATCTCACCTTCCATGCAGGAGCCCGGGGTTTGCTTCCTGGCCAATGCTCCTCAAGCCCAGCCACTACCTGGCCATTACAAGCTTGCATATTGCTGTAATGTTAGTGTAGAGCTTCCACACTAAGACAGACTAAAAAGAAAGGCCTGGCAATTTACTTTCAAAAAATCAGCCAAGGAAAATCTTCTGGATCACAACGGTCTGATCCTATTGTGCATGGGGTCACCATGAGTTGGGGGTGACTCGACAGCAGCTAACAACAACAATCATTCTGGGAGTAGAGACTTTTATATTCTATACTTTCTCTATGAGTTGGAATCGACTTGATGGCAATGGGTTTTATACTTTCTCTACAGTCTAAATTTTTTAAAACTATGATTGTGTTCTTTTATAATTTAAAAACTAGTTAAAATAACCTAGAATTGTAATGCAGAAAGAACATGAAGTTTACTACAGTAAAGAAATCCAATAAAAGGTTGGTATAATTAAATAAAAAAGAATAAGCAAAAAGTTCTATATGGAGACTCAGGGGGAAAAAAAAAATCAACTTCAAATTCCTTTTAGCCACACTCTGAAGTCTTTTAGGCCTCATCTTGTATTAGGTCAAAATTCCAAAAAATTCTTCACAAGTTGTAGAAAAGTATGAATACTCTGATTTTATATATATGTGCATAAAAAGGTATATATTCAAAGAAAATGACTAAAAGGACATGCCAGTTAACACTGGCTACTTTCTTTGTAAGTGGACAGAAAAGCTTTGCTTCCTACTTCATACAATTCTTAATCATTTGACTTTTTAAAACTAAAATACTATACACAAACATGAGCAATAGAATGCCATCTTCACAATACTTACAGTAAAAACCAACAGCTGTAGGCAGCAAAAACAAAGCAAAACCATAAAAAAGTCAGTAATCAAAAGCAAACTATTAAACAGTTCTACAGCCTTACCTCCACTTTCTTTTTGATCTAAAAATAACATTAAACAAGCAGCATAAACATAGCTGAGCTCAAGATTGATAAAGTGCTGTCATATATAATTTAAAGAAGCTGAATTTGGAATTAATTGGCAATGTATAAATATTTTATGCAAGAATAAGCATAAACAGCACCACCACCAGGTAAAAGGCCTTTCATAAGACTGCACTTTTGGGGGGCTTAAACATACTTTATAACTTAAATTCCTATCACATACGTGTTCATTTATATTACAGGTATGAGCCTAATGTTGCAGACTCAACCTTATCAGACTTTCCTCTGAATAGATTTTAAAAGCGCAACTACAGTCTTTTAACAGATGCTTTCAAGGAGAGAACTACGCAGTCAATATGAAATCAAGCTGAGCAACACCTCATTTTCAGAGGTCTGAGTTTCAGCTCCATGGGGCTTACAGTTTCTAAATTTTAATAATTCCAACCTCTCCCCTTTGTACTCTCAGTTAAATCCTAACCTACTCCTCTCTCTTCTCCCTACCCCTACTTCCCGGCCCCCACTTCTACATATGCCTACGGCAAAAACACAGCACTAAAAATCATTAAATCTATAAATCTCATGTCCCTAAATACTTGTCTTATGAAAGTATGCGTATTTAGTTTGGGCTTTGGTAGTATGAAATATTTCATTTGTGGGCCTTCTATGTAGTACGAGAAGTACTGCTGCAGAATGCACAAAGACATGGAAATAAATTCCTATGATATCACATGACAAGCAATATAAGAGAGACAACAAAAATGTGCTGGGATTGCTGAAAAAGGAGGGACTGTGCATCAGAGGGATCTAGGCTTCTTAGGTGAAGTGACTTTTGAGCGAAGCTCTGAGGAATGAGCAAAAGTTCACCTGATACGCAAGGAGAGAAGAGTACCACAGGCGGTGAACAGCATGGTCAAAGAAAGGGGGTTCTGAAGGTACACGCCATACTCAGGAAAGAAGGATGAAGTAATAGTGGGGAGAAACGCAGAATAGGAGACTAGAAAGGAGGTTTATAAATAATGCTGTGGAGGGTAAGCACCGACAGTTACTAAGTTATTGTCTTTCGGCTCTAGACCCACTTATACTCTGCCTTATGATGCTGGGGCTGAGACTGTGCAAACCACATTTCTTCTTTGCTAGCTGTCTCCCTCTTAGGTTCTGTCAACAGGCGGCACCGGAGGTAGACTGCAAGGCTAAGAAGGAAGAAGGGGCTGGCTCCTTTGCTTTCTCCTATGAGCTTTTTGTTCATGCACCATTCAGGTAACACTTCTTAACCCTGGTAGTGGCATTTCTTTCACGTATCAGATGCTGAATCCAGTCTGCAGTTTTCCTGCCTCTGTGATAGCTTGGCTTTTTTACCCTTTCAGGTTAACAGTTAATTTTATATACCTTGGTAACAATTCCTTATACTAAATTCTCTGATCAAACAACTGGAGTGGATTCTGTCTCATGCTTGAACCTTGACTAATGCAGAAATCAATGAAAACTACTAAGCAAAGTAATGACTCATTAAGATCTTTGTTCTAGAAACAACTCTGGCAGCCACACAGAGTGAGATGTGTCAAAGACAGAGTATCGGGTTTAGTAATGTCTCCGGTGGTTAAGAAGCAAATGAAATAATCCAGGAAAGAAACGATGTGCAGAATGACCTACACCAAGCAGTGTATTTTATGTTAAGTCCTAGGACTTTTGTTTAAGTTGCTATAATAAAACATGAAGTTTACTACTACACTTATATTTTCTCCTTTTCTAGTACCGAGGTTTGTGTAATTGCTGGAGCTTCCTTTTTACACTAGCTGCTAGGAACCTTCTGTCAAAAATGACGCTGACCAGGGACACAATAGAAGGTCCTGGATAGAATGGGAGAAAAACAGAACAATTCAAATTCCTAAAAAAGGCCAGGCCTACTGGACCAATAGAGACTAGAGGAATCCCCAAAACTATCACCTTAAGATATCCTTTGAACTGGGCACTGAAGCTACTCCTGGAGGTCAGTCACCTTGCAGCCAAATAATAGATTGGCTTATAAAATATTATCACCCATGAGTAATGTGCTCCCTTAAGCAATCAACTATATGAGACCAAACGGTCAACATTTACCCAAAAGCAAAGATGAAAAGACAAGGAGGGGAAAGAAAGCTAGATTGATGGAAACAGAACAAATAGAATGAAAATAATGAGAATGTTGACACATTGTGAAAATTATAACCAATGTCATGGAACAATTCATATGAAAATTGTTAAATGGGAACACAATCTCCTGTGCAAACTTTCAGCTAAAACACAGTAAAATATATATATTAAAAATAAGACACTGAAACACAACTAAACCAATCTTTGTGGAAGTCTATTTTTTCCTCTTTTTTGCACCTGATTATGTATTTCAGTTTTTAATTGCATATATCTTTTACTGAAAGCCACTTCATGCTTTCAAGTGATATATATATATATAATTAATTCTCTAAAGTCAAAGCTTTTTTTCACTGTAACAAAATCTTAGATTATACAGTTAAATGACAATTCCTGTCTCTGGAAATGAACAGATGGCAGAAAAATTAACTTGGGGTCCCGCACTGAAAGTATGAACAACAATGAAAAAGATGCTACAGCACTTTGACAGAAGTACTGGACAAGATGAATAACTTTAGCTTCAGCTATTGGGAGGAAATGAGTGCTTTTAGACAATTACTAACACATTTCTATATATCACAAAGGAAGATAAGTGAGACTGCTTTTATTAAAATAATCTGCCTTATATATTCTTGCACATCCTGGATAGCATGTTTCTTGGCTAAGCAAAGTGTGTCTGCGTTCATCCCATTGCTTGGATTAGGATTACTAAATCTGTGGTCAGAGGTAGTCTCTTCTTTATGTATTTTTATTTCATTTTGGAGGAAGTACCATTTTATCTGAGATTAAAAGACAATCCTCCCTTTAGCTTTTTGTATTGAGTTCTAATGTAGAGGTGAGAGAAGAAAGCTGCATGCAAATCTAGTACTTGCTGCATGAGACTCATTTATTCACTTGGGACCAATATGGCTATATAAAATCACATACAAAAATTACCTGAAGGATTAGAGAAATCCAACATGCTGGTGGTAGGCTGCAGGAGATCTGGGCTGCTGGATGAGAGTGTTCCAGGAATTGGCATTATAGCCAGACTGTGCCTACAATGTCTTGTCCCCACAATGCTGTCATCCTGTGACTGGCTCAGGCCTCCATCACTTCAAAAGAATGTCACAAATCACTTCAAAGCATTTGAGACACTTAATAGTAAACACTTCTGTTCTCTGCGCACCGAAGCATAATAGAACCAATTCAAAGTGGTGATTTTGAAAATTAGATTAAAATATTATAACGATTTTTAAAAAGAACAGGATATCTGTAATGATGAAAATACCAATAAAAGATGTTTTTAACAATTATACTCCAATAATATTTAACTTAAACATTTCAGTAATTCTGCTGTATCATCAAGAAATAGTCATATTTACTTTCTACTTGTTTTGGTAGAGAAATTGAACCTGAGTGTTTAGGGAACCCTTGAAATCTATCGCCTTCAGTGGACACTAACACAGGCATGCCTCATTTTATTGTGCTTTGCTTTATTGTGCTTCACAGATACTGCATTTTTTACAAATTGAAGGTTTGTGGCAGCCCTGCATCGAGCAAGTCTATCAGCACTTTTTCCAATAGCATGTGCTCACTTCGTGTCTCTGTCACTTTTGGTAATTCTCTCAATGTTTTAAACTTTTTCATTATTATTATATCTGTTATAGTGATCTGTGATCAGTGATCTTTGATGTTACTACTGTAATTGTTTTGGGGGTGCCACAAACCATGCTCCTGTAAGACAGCAAACTTAATAAATGTATCTGTTCCGGCTGCTCCATCAATGGGCTGTTCCCCCGTCTCTCCCCCCGACCCCCACCCCAGGCCTCCCTATTCCCTGAGACACGACAATATTGAAATTAGGCCAATTAATAACCCTGCAATGGCCTCTAAGTGTTCAAGTGGAAGGAAGAGTCGCATGTCTCTCACTTTAAATTAAAAGCTAGAAATGATTAAGCTTAGTGAGGAAGACATGTCGAAACCTAAGACAGGCCAAAAGCTAGACCTCTTGAGCCAGTTAGCCAAGTGAAGAAATAGTAAGAGAACTATAATTAGAAGCAGACTCTGAAGATGTGATTGAACTGCTGCAATCTCACTACAAAACTTTAATGGATAGGACTTATGTCTTATGGATGAGCAAAGAAAGTGGTTTCTTGAGATGGAATCTACTCCTAGTGAAGATGCTGTCAGCATTGTTGAAATGACAACAAAGGATTTAGAATATTACATAAACTTAGTTGATAAAGCAGCAGCAGGGTTTGAGAGTACTGACTCCAATTTTGAAAGAAGTTCTACTGTGGGTAAAATGCTATCAAACAGTACTGCATGCTACAGAGAAACCTTTTGTGAAAGGAAGAGTCAATTGATGCAGCAAACTTCATTGGTGTCTTATTTTAAGAAACTGCCACAGCCACCCCAACCTTCAGCAACCACCAGCCTGATTAGTCAGCAGCCATCAACATCAAGGCAAGACCCTCCACCAGCAAAAAGATTATGACTCACTGGAGGCTCAGATGACGGTCTGCATTTTTAGCAGTAAGCATTTTTTAATTAAGGTATGTCCTTTTTTTTTAATACATAATGCAATTGCATACTTAGTAGACTACAGTATAGTGTAAACATAACTTTTATATGCCCTAGGAAACAAAAAAATTCTTGTGATTCACTTTATTGCGGTGGTCTGAAACTGAACCCACAATATATCCAAGATATGCCTGTATATGTATACATACTAGTATATTTATATATCCAACACTGCACAGCCACACCACAGCAAGGCAATCTCTCTCTCATAACAGAAAATCTTGGCAGCCTTCTAGGCAAGAATGAAGTTGTGTTAAACCTAAACTAAAAATATGGCATTTGTAGGTAACAATGGAGTCAAGTTCAAGCGACAAAATGAGAGGTCTTTAAACATACACTCAAATGACCTGCAAATTGCCAAAACTGGTAAGAATAGGGAAAAGATAATAGGAAGATGGCACAGAAAATAACAACAAAGAACAACTAAAGTATGTAACAAAAAGAAAGGAGAAAGGAGAGCAAAAAATGAAAATAGAAGGAAAAAATCTATAGTCTCTCACCTTTATTCTAAAAAAAATCAAACCCATTGTCATCGAGTTGATTCTGACTCATAGCGACTCTACAGGACAGAGCAGAACTGCCCCATAGGGTTTCCAAGGAATAGCTGGTGGATTCCAACTGCTGACCTTTTGGTTAGCAGCTGAGCTCTTAACCACTGCGCCACCAGGGCTCCAAAACTTTATTCTAAGGGCACATTAATTGAAGTCTAATTATTTGACTGTTTCCTGGAGAACACCAAAACCAAGGCAAAAACCAAGTAAGCTAGAATTAATTCCCTTTAAAGGTTTCAAAAACAAGTATCAGTTAAGTGATCATATTTAAGCAAACAAAATACTCTTTCTTTAAAATATTTAAACATGTTACATAAGCAACTCTCAATTCATCTAAGGGAAAAAATAAAACCAAAGAAACACAACTCTGTGACTTGTTTTAGATACCTCAAAAAATTAATTTTAAAGTAAAACAGCCCTATAAGAACAGTATAGCAATGAAAAAAAAAAATTTCCATCAGCACCAACAACCAAAATACTACCTACTTAAAAAGGCTGTGCTTATTTTAAAACCAATGCTTTCAGTTAATATTAATTACTATCTACATTTGATACAATGTGGTCTTTTACCTCCTACTTGTTATATATACCAACAGAAATATCACAGAATACTTTACCTATTCTCAATGAAAGGATTAAGACACTGTCTTAAAAATGAGTGATACGGGATACATTCAGAATACGTTAGGAATAAAATACAGGATTTAGGTAGATTAGGAAACTAAGCAAAATGGAGAGTAGAGTGGCTAAAGGACTGTTAACAGTGAGACAACGAAGGGAGGGCCAGAACAAGAAAGAGAGCCAAGGAGCAGGGAAGGGCATGAAGGCGTGGAAGAGAGCGAAGATTAGTATTTCAAGAGCAAGCTTCAGTGTCAGACAGACCTGGGTTACTAGCCATGTAACCTCAGGCAAATCTCTTTTTCTCTCTTGATCTTGGTTTCCTCATCTGCAAAATGGGAATAATACTATCTATTCACCAGGACTCCCCCAGAACTACTGTAAGGATTAAATCAGATAATGAAGGCAAACATTTTGGCACAGCAAGTGGCATATTGTAAAAAATGGCAGTTGTTATTGCTATTATCATGACCAAATGACATGCAGGTTCTTCACTGACTCTAGAATGGAACAAAACGTAACTTGAGAACAAAGTAAACTAAAACTCCTATTTTAAAGATGACAGTGAAGCACTTTTACCAAAAATAAATGGGAACAGTACAAACCTAGGAAGCAGAATTTTTTTTTAAGCAATTCATATTAAAAAACAGAAGGGGTAGTGGGGATAAAAAAACTAAAACCAACCCACTGCAGTTGAGTCCATTCCAACTCACAGAGATCCTACAGGACAGGGTAGCACCACAGAAATAGGAAATGCTTTTCAAAGGGAGAGAAGGCAGTCTAAATTTACTGATAAGGCAAAGGAAATTCCATATTTGATAAGTAATTTGTGCTTATGCTAAGTTGGTTTTGATAATTAGGTTTGAAGACCTAGAGATCAGAACTAAATGTTTTGAGGTTAGGTAAGAGGAAAAAAAAAAAAAAACAGAGAAGGGACTTTCACAGATTATTTTATTCACAGCTTTGTGGTTTAAATTATGTAAAAAACAAAGTTTTTTTTTTTTTTTTTTTAAAAAAAAGAGTCATTAGTGGATTTCTGAAGACAAGCCCATCATTTTTGCACTAAGAAAGTCAGGTAACTGAATCCAAGGAATCAAACCTTTAAAGATTAAACAGATCAGCAGTCGTACTAATGATCAAAGTAGAAGCAATTTTAACAATGTTAAAAAGTTACAATTTTTTGTTAAAGGAAATTAGCTGCATCAGTTGAGGCAAGTTGGAATAGAGACAAAGAGAAATGCATGAAACACTAAAAGTCCTTATATCTCTCACTGATATTATTAACATTATTTCTGCTTTTTAATAATCAACAAGCATGATACTATAAACCTACTAATATAATGCTGGTTATAAATTCATGGTAATTAAGGTGTAAGCATGTATCAATGAAAACTATACTAAAATGTATAACCCATGCTATGATATGAATGAAATAGTATTTAACTGGCAAAATATCCATACTTGTTTGGAAGCTGAAATGATAAAACCCATTTGCAACTAATTATGTCACATCTTATCAAAATAGTCTCCTGAGAAGGTGATGCAGTTTAACAGAAAAAGGTATTTTTGAAAAATACCTCAACAATTCTCTAACAGTAAATTTACTCAGAATAAAAGTATATTTTAGTTTCACATTATGAAACTTTAAAAGCCACCTAAATATTTTTAATATGCAAATAAAAAACGATCCCGATATTAAAAGGAAACAAAGAAAGAACAATGACGAGAAATAGTGACAAAAAAAAAAAAAATTTCAGTAAGCAAGCAAGGCAGTCTACTTTGGAGCTGCTACAATGAATATGTAAAAATGGTATTTAGATAATTTGTGATTAAAAAAACAAAAAAATATCTGGGTGAGGAAAAACAATGGAAGATCCGAATTTCCTGAATTGTGAAATAGGTCAGCAAAAACCACACTGTCTCAATTTACAGATGTTATTAAAAATCAATATAATTTTTTTCATTTCTAATTTTCAGAAACTTTCTTATATTTTAAAATTACATCATGGCTAGGGATTTTATTTTATTTATTTTTTTATTGTTGTGCTGTAAGTGCAAGTTTACAATTCAAGTTAGTCTCTCACAAAAAGTTACACATTGTTATGTGGCCCTAGTTGCTCTCCCTATACTGTGACAACACACTCCTCCTTTCCACCCGGCATTTCCCACGTCCATTCAACCAGCTCCTGACCCTCTCTGCCTTCCCATCTTACCTTTGGACAGAAGCTGCCCATTTAGTCTCACGTATCTAGTTGAGCTAAGCAGCACACTCTTCACGAGTATCATTTTATGTCCCATAGTCCAGTCGAACCTTCGTCTGAAGAGTTGGCTTCGGGAATGGTTTTAGTTTTCAGCTAACA